AATGGAAGATGTCTGCTTTGCATAAATGAAGTAGCTCTCAGTGATACTTGGTACTTTATAAATAAAAGTGATTTTGTATTTGACAAAGTTAACAACAAACTAAAATGTGCTTGAAAACTGTAAATACACAATCTATAGACCAAGTAAGCTTCATCCCAATTGGATTCAAATCTTTACAAATTACAGTAACTTAGATCACTTTAAAGCCTCATTCAAGAAAGAAAATGCCATTAAATTATTTGATTAATTGAAATTAAATTAAAAAAACAAAATGCTATTAATCCTAAAGAGAATTAAACGTTGCAGTAACTCATACGTTATTTCTTTAAACATGTGTTGTTGATAGCTATAGGGAGGAAGGCAAGGCAAGGCAAGGCAAATTTATTTGTGTAGCATAGTTCAGTACAAAGACAATGCAAAGTTCTTTACATGATTAAAATATAGGAAAATAAAACAGAATCAAGGAAAATAAAACAGGATTTTCTTAGGTAGGTAACTAGTTTTCCTTATCCCCAACATATATTTTATATACGTTAGAAAGCCCATTAAAAAAAACAGATTTGACCATTTTAAAGACTATAATACTATAATTTTTCCAGCTTAAAAAAAAAGTGTAAGCTATATTTGACAGATGTTGGAGGATAATGGTTACATACTCTACTGGTACCACTGGGATTTTAAGGTGTAGGTGACTCGGCTACATTCTCATCATAAGTCATCATAAGTCATGCAATAATTATAAACACACAGACGCCTGTTGGATGAAAGCATTTTTTAACCTTTGGTTTTAGCTTCTCTATATTTACAGTTATCAGGCATTAAAGGCTCAGACACAAGGGGGAGTCACTGGAAAATAAAAAAATCCCACTGTGGAATAAATGGCTGTGAGTCAAAGACGTGACGATCAACAACTAATATCATTTATACACTAACACTGTACCACGTATCACCTGAACACCATTTACTAGGCAACACCCCGTTTTAGAATATAGCAAGAGCAGCCTGGGTTTAAGAAGTTTAAGTTTGAAAATAGATATATCAAGACTTTTTAAATTTGGCCACAAAAGTTGTAGGACAAAGGGTATTTTTATAGGCTTCAATATGGTATTTTTATCATATCTAAATTACAGTCCTTCGACTTTTTATGAGCGAGAACAAAGCTTTGTGATTCACTCTAAAATGGTTCACTTATTATGAGTAAATGGACAGCATTTAGAGGGGGCACAGCCTGCATCAAAGGACAGCAATATTGTAGAAGTTCCTCATTTTTGGGTGAACTCTTGGCTTTGAAACGCTATCTAGGTGCTTTACAAGCATATACAGCGCAGAAGAGGGGAAATCCCACAAGTAAATGTCGGCTCAAAATACTTATGCCTACCGGCAGCATTAGAGGCTGTTTCTTGTTTGAGATGAATGTATGCAACCCCTCGCTTTACATTTGTTTAATTTCAGTTGACCTAATTTCACAAATCTTTTTGATTCAGAGGACTTTTTAAGATGTGAGCAAAGAGTGTTTTAGGCAAGTGAGAGAGATACAGGCATGAAGAATGCAGAATCAAGACATTTTAGGGCAAATTGTCCAACAATGTCTGGATTGAGATAAAAAGTTCGGTTGTGGGAAAATAAAATGAGTAATGAGGAGTTTGAATCGTGTCATTTAGGGTCAAATGTTTGGGTCAGCTTGTCCTTTTCCTTTTCTTTTACTTTCTGTGGTTGGGGGGAAAAAATCAAATGTAACACAACCATACACAACCAAAGGATGGAAATATAGCAGTGGAGGCTGAGTGTGGGAACAATATTCTGGGATATAAGTTGACATGAACTTGGCTGAAATTATAAATCCACACATTCCTGAATGATGATTCAGGAGGCAGATGTTAACCAATAAAAAGTGAAAGTATGTAAATAATTTTTTTCCTGTTAAATCCAAAAATTGAAATGCTCTGGAGATTTTTGTTTTCTATCAAATGAAAACATAAAGATATTTTCTGTCTCAGCTGATAGATGTATAGATGTCCTTAGTCTTGTTTGGCTTGTCTGCATCAGCTGTGCACATCTAGAACATTTAAGCAGTTTTTCCAGAAAACTTTATGCGTAATAATCATTTTCAGATCTTAACATAATCTTCAATACGATTTCAGTCTGGACTTTGGATGCTTATGATACAAAAACGTGTTTTTTTGTTGTTGTTTTTTTTGC